GTTCTCAATGCTTATCCTGTGTGAAAGAGCATGGCAGGTCATCTGTGTTGAAAAAGCACACAGAGGCAGCCAATCAGGGGCCTAAGAATTGTAACTAAGATGCACAGGAGGGGACAACTGCTGTCAGTTCTCCTTTCCACTTTTCTAGTGATTTTTGCCCATCGAAAAGGAACTGGTTGTGAGAACATCAATACTCTATTGAAAAGGGTATCAAGAAATAAAGGGATGGGCAAGGAAGGGAAGGGAAAAAAGAGGATAAGAGAAATTTAGACATGTTATATACATGTACCAAATCTACACAAGAATGTAAATATTATATATCTCAAATGTAGTAATAAATGTTAGGTAGATAGGAAGATGCATATTAGATAGATGTGAATGAATGAATGAATGAATGAATGGAGACTCCAGTTTTGGACAGCTGAAAGGCAGTAACACCTCTACATATGCAAATGCAAGGTCAAGCCTTGTCCAAGCCTTGTCCAATGTTCTGCAGTGAAGGTGCTGGAAGGAGAATAAAACAGAGATGCAAATCCACCTGCCCATCCAATCAAAAGATAAGGAACTGGAAAAATCCTTCTCTACAAATAATACCCAAGAGACTTCAGCCTCTTCTTCAAGTTACTCAAAGAGCTCTCAGGTCCCTCCCTTTGGCCTTTGAAAGCCACAGTGAGTTCACTAATCCCATGGACATGATGGTTTCAGAAAAATTGTCATTGCCGTTCCTAGAAGTCTACTTCCATTCTCCACAAGGATATAGACTCTTTCTATGATACTTAGTTGTAGGTAGAATATTAGCCTTTATTGTGTGAAATATAAAGTATGTAATTTGAATGAATTTATTTTATAGTTAATTTAAAAGACATCCTGAGATTCTTTCAATGCAAGCCTGGGATTAAATGAGGAATTCATATCTGGCTCATAGGATGTGGTTACCCATAGCTCACGTAGCCTTTTAGGTACTGTCTTAAGTCTCTTGCAGCTTCTCCACCCAGCTCCACCCTGCAGTTGGGGATCTCATGGCCCTCAGAGTGCCCTTGAACCTTTTATTTGCCTGATTTATGATGTCATCCAACTCAACACATGTTACTACCTGGTAGCACATTGGGTTTCTGTCAAGTTGTCTGCAAGGCAGTTGGTCTGTCACCAGTGCACTTCACACTAGACACTTTTTCTCTGTGGCTTCAGCCACCCAAACATTCTCCAATACCCTCTCCTCATATTTCGTGAGTCTGCAACCACTGTGGCCCCTTTGCTGACTATTCGAATAAGAAAAGGTAATTGCAAAAGTCTTTGGCAGTATGTGTTTGCTCCCCTCCCAAAGAAATTTCCAAGTGCAGACCACACACCCAGGGACACTACAGGAAGGTCTTGAACTAGAAATCCAAAGACCTGTGTTTACTTGTGGCTTGAATTTTAGTAGGAATGTGACATTGATAGATGACTGACACAAAAGTGTCTCTTCATCTGTTCCCTGAGGTTGACCAACTGCCTGTGCTCTGTTCTCTCTATTTTATGTGAATGAGTCTTAAGGCCCTTGCAAAGAGAGAATGAAATCAGGGATGCATTGGGTGTGTTTATTTCAAGAGAGAATGAGTAAAGCACCAGGTGGGGTAGAAAACTGCACTTCTATTCCAAGATACCTAGTTCATTGCTAACAGTTTCCCCCCACCCTTATTTTCATTCCATTGTGGTGTTGTTCAAAATGGACTCTTCACACGTTATGGAAATTTCTGTCTGAGGTCAGAGGCAAAAAGAGGCGGATGGAACAGCCAGGCAGATACTAGAGGAGGAGGACATTTGGGAGGACACCCATGAAGCAGAGGTCAACAGGAGCTGCTTAGGTTGGGGGGAAGGAGGAGAAAAATATGAAAAAGTAGGGAGGAGAAAAAATATCAGAAAGGAGAGAGATGGGAGCACACACTGTTTTCTAGAAAGGACAGTGATATTTTGGGATGGAATCTTGAAGATCACTGAAGGGTCCACATGACCTCTGAAAGTGCTGTCTGCTCAGACAAGGGCAAAATGAGGCTGGCTTGGCAAATGTTTCTTCTAAAGGTGTAAGGAGGAAACTAAGGCCAGCACGGGATTTCCCTTGGAGAAAGCGCCTTATCAGAAATGTCAGCTTCTGTCAGGTTTGTGTCTACTGCATCTTTCAGCACAGATGCCACTTGATAGTTCTTACATGTGAACATTTTCAAAATATGTTTCAGATGTGATTCTTTCTGTACACGTGTTCAAAAAGCCATCATCCAGAGAGCATGGGAACAATCTTCAGCATTCTATTTTTGGCTGATTTTTAAAATAAATAGATTTTTAAAAAATACTGTGTCTCAGCCCTTGGGCATCAGAAGAACCACTTTCTTTGCATGATTAAGTTTCAGGTAAAACCTTGTTGGCATCTTTGTGATACTTTTCTTCCTAAAATAGAGTGCATATTTGATATCAACATCTTCATGAACATACATATTCATGAAATATTTTGACACCTGAGACTGAAAAGAAACACAAATATCACAGCTCATGAAGGATTATTTTAAAAAAAGAAAACAATTTGATTCACGAAAAGAAGTGCTTGGCAAAGTTTTGCTTCTGTTCACAAATTCCTGATAGGGTGATGAACACGACCTCAGTCACCTTCTTTGCACACAAAAAAATGCCGCCACCTTCCCCAGACCAGAAACAAATTAAGTTCGTGAACTGAGGTACAACTGTACTTGCCCACATATGAAAAGAAAACTTCAAGTCCCATATCTCTCATTCTACATGTATCTATAGCAAATTTATGGGCTCCTATGAGGTTCCTACACTTAAAAGAATTGTTTCAGGGCCTTTAGTCCCAGATACTTTGGGGTTTGAGATAGGAGGATCACATACTGCAGCCTAGCCTGGGCCAATTAATGAGACCTCACTGTTCAACAACCCTTAGGATGTGGGTGCATTTGTTTGATCTTTTGTCTTTTTTAATTTTTCACTTTTATTTTGAGGAGAATAAAATCAAGCAAAATAAAACTGAATAAAGCAAGTCAAAATGAAACAATAAACATGATATAGGACTTCAAAACAAGATAAAAGGAAATAAATAAAGACTACCTCTTGTTATCTTCAAAATAACTGCTCATACCATCAAACATAACAAAATCAAACAAAGCAGAACAGAATAAAACCAATCAAAACACAACAAAACAATGAAAGCAATACAGGACTTCAAAACAAGATAACAGGAAATCAACAACAGCTACCATAATGTATTTTGTTATCTTTGAAATAGCTGCCCATGTCATCAAATGTAAAAAATATTAAACAAAACAAAGCAGAATAAAACAAAACTAAACAGAACAATGAAAACAATACAGGGTTTCAAAACATAATAATAGATTAACAATGACCACTACCTTCCCTTTTTAGAATTTCCTCCCCTTTCACTTTCACATTATCTGTTGTGCACTTTGGATACCACTAACTCCTTTAGTTTTTAATAATAGGGAGACAACACCATGTTTACCCATGTGACCCTGAACCATTTCACCCATGAGCACTATCTCGAGTTGTATCCATTTACCTACAAGAGCCTTGAGGTTATTTTTCTTCATAGCTAAGTAGCTTTCCATTATATAAAAATGTCTTATCTTTCTTATCCATTCTGCAGCTGATGGGCAAGGTATCCCTCCCTTTTTATGGTTCCTGTCACATTGTTTTCTCTCCGTTGAGTTTCCATTTATGAATTTTCTTTTGTGTTAGATGTGTTTCTTGTACAAAGCATATGGATAAATCCTGTCTCTTGATCCAGTTTGCTTGTGTTTCTCTTTACTGGTGAATTGAGGCCATCTACATTAATGGTTATGGCCAACATATACCGGCTTGTGTCTGTCATGCTATTTTCCTGTCTTCAGCTATCTACTTTTCCCCTCCATTCAATTTTCTGCCCCACTCGGTGATCTTCCTCTATTGCTGTTCCTGGAACCATGCTAATTTTTATCTCTCTCTAAAAAGTCCTTCAGAACTCTTTCTAGGGTTGGTTTTGTGATCATGATTCGTTCAGTTGTTCTTTGTCGTGAAAGTATCTTGTTTCTCTATTAATTTTGAAAGATAGTTTTCAGGGTACATCAATCTGGGTTAGAAGTCGTTTTCTTTCAGGACTTGAAATGCTTTACTCTAAGCTCTTCTTGACTTGATGGCTTGTCATGAGAAGCCTGTCATGATTCTGATGGGTTTTCCTTTATAGGTGATCTTTTTCTTTTCTCTAACAGCTTTTAGTATTCTGTGCTTGTGCTGAATTTCTGAGATCTTGATTATTATATGTCTGGGTATAGATTTATTTTGGTTATAGCTATCTGGAGTCCTATATGCCTCACTTATCTGAATGTCACATTCTTTTCCCATGCTTGGGTAGTTTTATGCTATTACATCTGTAAATAGACTTTTTGTCATTTGTGTGGACCCCTGCTTTTTCACTGACACTTGTTATTCTTAAATTATTTTTCTTTGCATCATCTTGCAGCCATTGAATTGTTATTTCCTAGTTCCTTGTTATTTTTAATAGATCTTTCCTTTCACAATAGTTAATTGCACATCTGTCTTCAAGGTCAAGCAGTTTTGCCAGCTTTTGATGGAGTTTTTAATTTCCTGGATATCTCGTTGAATCTGTTTCATGCATTCTAAATCTTTTTTATATTGTTCATTCGAGGTGTCCCTCATTTTCCCATGCTCATCTATATTTTTATCTACGTCTTTTTAAGAAACACTTAGAAATTCTTTTGTTTTTCATTTCTTCTTTTACCTGAGATAGCATTTCTTTTATAGCCTCATGAAATTGTTTCTTTACTTCATTTGCCACCACTTCAAAAACTTCAGGTCGGCTCCCAATCTCTTCTGCATTTATATCTCCTGGACTTGCTCTGCATGGGTTGGAGGCAAGAGATCACCTTTTGCTTTTTCATCTTGATATTTTCTTGGGTTTTTCCAGGCAAGTGGGTAGTGGGATCCCAGAAAATTCTCACATTGGCTGCAATTTCTCTGAAGCATGACTGATTCTCCTGGCCAGCGATGGCTATGGGTATCTGATGGCGGCCATTGGGTATGTGTGCTGGTGTGGGGCTGGCTGCTGCTTCTCCCAGTCCACACTGGATACTAGTAAGGGGAAGCATCCCCAATGATGGTCCACCTCCTGGACCTGGTGGTTACTGACAGGAAGCATCCCTGAGGTGGCTGGAATGTGCACAGGGATAGAGATGGCCATTACTTCCTGGACCTGAGCTGGTTCTGATCTTTTGTCTTGAGGCCTGGCCTACAGCAGGAGATGTCTGTCTCCCCCACAGTTATAAGGTATCTGGTCTGCTGCCGTGGTTCCTGAGAGGACCTAGCCCTGTCTGACTGCCTATAATATCTCTATCTAACTCAGTCGCCTGCAACAATCCCCACACTGAAGAACTAATCCAAACTGCCATGAGGGAGTAATAGATGATGACTGATCTGGCTGCTGAAGGAAATAATAATAGTTGATTAGCAGTCAGGGATACTCTACAGAGCCCTTGATAGCCTTTAAAAGCCCTTGATAGGCACTGGTCATTTTTATCTTGGGTAGGCATGCAGCTTTAGGTCTGGAGGAGACAAAAGCAAAGAAACAATTAAGTATGCATGGGCCAAATAATAAGATCAGCAGCTAATTATGAATACAGTTAACAAAAATTTTTGCCACAAGGAGCTAGTAATAGATTCTCATAATGAGGATAAGAATAAGGTTCAGGGAATTTTAGAGTCTGACATGTCACTGATTTGTCATCTAATGTCTCAAACAGCTATTGAGATATTAGCAGAAGTACCACGTTTAAAAACATGACACGCAGTTTTTAAAGTTGTACAAGTACTCTGATGTGTTGCTGTTAGAATATCTAATGCCATCCTATTTTGGGCGAGAGCCTGTCTCATTAATTTTACTTTTTAATTTAAGAGAGAGAGACCAGCTGTTTGCCCACCTTGTGAGTTCTCATTTTTCTCTACCTTAGACCCACCTCATCTTATGATTTTGCTCTATTAAAGTCCCTATAAAAGACAGTCTTTGACAACCCACTTGGGACACCTTCTGTCTCTCTCTTAGAGAGCATCTTTATTTCTCTCAATAAATATATTCTGCTCTTAACCTCTGTTGTTCCTAAAATTCATTCTTCAATGAGAAACTCATACTGAACATCTAGTAGGGTGGGACTTTCTTTCTCCTATATCATTTTGTCTGAGAAACAGCTGGCAAAACATTTTTCCCAATCAGTAGATTGTTTCTTCATTCTGTTGATGATTTTATTTGCTGTGCAAAAGCTTTCTAGTAAGAAGAAATCCCAGTTGTTGATTCTTTGTAATATTTTTCTTAAATGACCATCAACTAATGAATGGATAAAGAAGATGTGTTTTTATACAATGGAGCACTACTCAGTAAAAGAAGAATAAACTTGAGACATTTTTAGGTAAATGGATGAACCTTGAGACCATACTCTTAAGTGATATAAATCAAACACACATGTAAGTATCAATTGCTTCTCTGGTGTGAGAAAGTAAAAGTGTAAGTAAGGGCCAAAATGTATACTAAAGATTATGAAATAGGGAAAAAAAACCCCACTTAATTGGGAAGGAGAATTAGGGAAGAGAAAGAGGGAAAGAAAGGCAGGGGAAAGAAAAATAAATGAGAAAAAAGGAAATGGAAAGAAAACTTTCAAAACTAAGGAGGAGAAGGAAGATCAAACAGAGGATAAGGGAATATGTAGAAAAAAAGAGGATTTCCAATACATCATGTATGTGTAAAAAGCCCCTATGATGAAGGTGATGATACAATGTACATTTAAAATGTACCAATAAACAATTAATTAAAAAATCAAAAGACTCCTTAAAATCACTGCCAAGGAGCAGCCCCAGTTGGAGTCCTGGCTGCCCCAGTCTGTCCTCCTGGCCTCCTCATTTCTCTCTCTTTTGTCCTAGCTGGTTTTAGATCATTTAAACACAACCCTTGTTTGGCCTCATATCAGGAAATCTGCCGGGCAATTGTATATGTCTGTGCTCCGACGCTGTTGTGCTGAGTTAGTGAGAGGGTAGAGGAACCCAGTCTTGCTGGGGTCTTTTTTTCCCCACACTCCATCTTTTATTGACTAACATTAATTAAGCACTATGTGGCAGGCACCATTCTAAAGAGTTTACTCATAGAGCAACAACTCATTTAATCCCTTGCAACTCTACAGTAGTTACTATTACCGTCCTTATTTCACATACAGGAAAGGGGGACACAGAATATGAAGCATGTCTAAGGGCATGAGTCACACCCAAAGCCCCCAAGCCAAGCTCCTCTCATCAGTTCTCTCCTCAGCCTTCACTCCCAGCTCCAGACTTCCCAGGCCCACTCTCTCAGAACTGCTCTCGGCTGCTTACCATAAGAGCAGCTGCTGCAGGTTTCCTAGGAGGGAAAAGGCAAGGAAGAGGCTATCACCCTTCTTGCCCTGCCACCTCCCAGCCCCAGCCCAAGTCATTCACCTCCATGGCACTGCCCATTGGCATCAGGCTCTGGCTGGCCCATGATGGAAAAGACCTCATCTTGCAGGGAGTGTGTGACGCGGAGCAGCCCCTCCTGGAAGGCAGTGTAGAGGGGGGCCCCCACTGTGCGCAGCAGACCCCCCCAAAGAGCATCCTCAGAGCCCAGCTCCCCAGGCGGGGTAAGCAAGCCCAACAGACCCTGCAAAAGGTGAGGAACTGGCTCCCTCCCTTCGAAATCTGTGGCATTGGTGGGATCCATACTGGGCTGCACCTGCACCAGGGCCTGCCAGCGGGTGCCCTCTAACAGCAGCAGCACAGAAGGCAACCAGTCAGCAGCTAGCACGCAGTCAGAAGGCCCATCACGGGTGCATGGGGGCCTCGCAGGGGCGGGGGGTCCCCCAGGAACTAAGGCTCCCAGCAGCACCTCCACAAGTCCTCCCAGAACACCTGCCTGGTGTACCAGGAAGTCCCGGGGAGTCTGCTCCTGTCCCAGCAGTGCCAGCACATCCCCCAGTAACCCTAGCATTGGCTCCCAGTCCGGACTACCTCTTAGTGTCACTAAGAAATCATGGAGACGCAGGGCAGGGGGCTGGAGAGGTGGGGGCTCTCCCACTGGCCCCTCCCCCATCCTCCCAGGCTCAAAAGGAGAAGAAATGTCGGCCAGAAATGAGGAGATCTGTAAGCAGCTAAAAGAACCCTGGGAAACTTGGTCCATAGGGGAGAGGAATGACTTCAGGAGGGAAAGATCAGGGTCCAGGGACTGAGGCTCAGTAGGGGCCAGAGTCACAACCTTGAAAAAAGAAACGGAAGAGGATCTCAGAAAATGAAAAGACCATGAATTGGAAGAATAAATATTGTGAAAATGGCCATTCTCCCAAAACTGTTACACAGATTCAGTGCAATTCCAATAAAAATACCATCAACATACCTCATAGATCTAGAGAAATCACTCCTAAAATTCATCTGGAACCAGCAGAGACCTAGAATAACAAAGACAGTTCTAAGCAGCAAAGGCAAGGCAAGAGGCCTCACAATCCCTGACTTGAAGTTATGCTACAAAGCTACTGTAATAAAGTCAACATGGTACTGGAATAAAAACAGATCTGAAGATCAGTGGAATAGATTAGAAGATACAACCACAACTACAAACACATTCAACCACCTTATCTTTGATAAAGGGGCCAAACACATTCACTGGAAGAACGACAGTCTTTTTAATAAATGGTGCTGGAAAAACTGTCTCTCCATACACCAAAAACTAAAACTGGACCAGTGCCTATCACCATGTACTAAACTAAAATCTAAATGGATCAAAGATCTGAATATTAAAACAGAAACACTAAATCTTTTGGAAGACATATTGGATATAAATCTTGAAGACATAGGGGTAGATAGAGAATTCATGAACAGGAATCAAACCGCACGGGAAATACTTCCCAGAATCAATAACTGAGATCACATCTTATTAAAAAGTTTCTTCATGTCAAAAGAAATCTCTAGCATAGTGAAAAGAAAGCTCACAAACTGGGAAAAAATCTTAGTGCACTGTCCCTCAGACAAAGGACTTCTGTCTAAAACATATAAAGAATTTTAAAAAATCAAATTCAAAGATCCAATCCAAAAATGGGCATCCTAGATGAATATACAGTTCTCAGAGGAAGAAATACAAATGGCAAATAAATACATGAAAAAATGTTCATCATTATTACTCATTAAATAAATGCAAATTAAAACAACACTGAGATTCCATCTCACTCCTGAAAGAATGTCCAGGATCAAGAAAACCACCAACAACAAATGCTGGAGAGGCTGTGGGGAAAAAGGAACTCTCCTGCACTGCTGGTGGGAGTGTAGACTGGTACAACCACTGTGGAGGTCAGTCTGAAGATTCCTCAGAAATCTGGAATTGGAAGTCCCATTCACCCAGCTATACTGCTTCTAGGCATATTCCCAGAAGAACTGAAAACATCATACCACAATGATATATGTGCACTCATGTTTATAGCAGCACAATTTGCAATAGCCAGATCTTGGAAACAACCTAAGTGTCCATCAACTGAGGAATGCGTAAAAAAGATGTGGTATTTTTATACAATGGAGTACTACTCATCTATAAAGAATGATCACATTGAGATATTTATAAATAAATGGACCCAACTTGAGACCATACTCTTAAGTGAAATAAATTAAACTCATATGTATAAGTACCGTATAGTCTCCCTAGTGTAAGAAATGATAAGAGTACATTAACAGTTTATGGTAATCATGATTCCCCATTACACTGCTTTGAAGCCTTATAATGTTTGCATTCATTAGTTGGAATGGTTTTATCCTGGTTTGTTTGATTTTATTATGTGTGATGGTATGAACAGCTATTTTGAAGAAAACAAGACATTATAATAGCTAGTGCTGATTTGATGTCATCTTACTCTGAAGTCCTACCATGCTTTTGTTCTTCTGTTTCCATTGGTTCTATCATGTTGTATCTTATTGGACTTTATTATGTGTGATAGTATAAACAAATTTTCTATGGAAAATGAGATAATATAGTAGCCATTGTTCATTTTCTGTTATTTGGTTCTGAATGCCCTGTAATACATTCATTCTCTTGAATGGTTTTATATTATTTTGTTATATTTGATACTATTATATATGAAATTGTGCTCAACTATTTCAAAGAAAGAGACATTATGGTAGTTACTGTTGATCGGGCTGTCTTGCAGTGAAATACTGTGTTGCTTACCTTGTTCTGTTCTGATCTGCTTTGTTATGTCCTCTTTTGTCTTAATCTCTTTAAAATAAAAAATTTAAAAAATAAGAGAAACCCAGAGATCACTGAAGGGGAAGAACCTAAGCCAGGAGACAGGCTTGCTCCTGAGCGCACTTCCCTGCCTGTATCTAAAGGGGAGGGAGGGTGAGCCAAGCCCTTTTCTCTGGCCTGCAGTAAGTCATGGCCTGCTTTCTTAATCTGCACTGTCACCCATAGCATCAGTCTCTGCCCCTCTTCCTGTCCCTTTAGCCTTTATCTAACTGTTTAACCTACACATTCTTACCTCTCTTTTCCAGCAATCCTCCCCCTCAACCCCAGCCCTGCTCACTGTTCCTCTCACCGGTGCAGGACAGCAGCAGCAGCAGAAACGGCCAAAGGCTCAGAGCCATGTTTCCGGGGCAGCACTGGTACTGGAGGTGGATTCTAGCTATTCTCACCTCCTGTGGGACAGCAGGGTGAAGGCAGGGCACTGCAAGCAGCTTGAGGCTCCAAAATAATATTCATAACCATACAGCAAGTTTGTCACTTCAACCACTGAATACCTGATCCTTTGGCTCTGGAGAAGGTGTGCTGCAGTGAGAGGAATCATTGATAGAGAACTAAAGATGGGAACCAAACCACAGAGGTACTAAAACAGATGCCTTGAGGGAGGAGTCTGGGATGCAAAAAGAAGTAAATACGCATGCAGATGAACTAGAGGGCAAGGGTGTCATCCAGGGTGTTAACACTTGTTGGAGTGTGTTGACTTGGATTAAGAAACACCAAGAAGACTAATAGAACACAGGTGTGTGTGTGTGTGTGTGTGTGTGTGTGTGTGTGACTGATATATAGACCAGGTATGTATGGCACTAATCAGTGTGTTTATTGCCTAGATAGGATAAAATGTGCAAGAATGAAGTATCTACATTTTGGGAGAGTGTCAGTCTTCTTCCTCTTCCATTTCCTCTTCTTCAGTCACCTTGGATACTGATTTTTAGTTTTTTCAGCCTTGCTATGCAGACTCGTGCTGGTGAACCTACAGTGAACTTCCAGGCCTTCAACCTGGGATGCCTTCATCTCTCTTGCTTTGTGGTTTTCATTTGTGTGAGCCACGCAGCTACTGGGTTACTCAGCTCACAGAGTCACTATGGATGCCTCTGATCCCAGAGGTGGTTACCATGGACTCTCCCACTTCTGAGGCTCTTGATAGCTTTCTCCCTCCGATCATATAGGTCTATCTAATTAATTCCCCTGCATAACCATAACTCTATCAACTCCTTTCCTCTAGAGAACCCTAGTTAATGCATATTTCAGTACCAGGAACAGTTCTAGAGAAATGGAATTATAAGAACGAATCTCTCTAATTGGTTTCTGGAGCTGACTCTCTAAAGTTGCCATGATCTCTCCTGAATGTAGGGAGTACCTGAGAGTTTGCTGTGGGAACTATTTAAAGTAATAATACCCAACATGAATACATTTGATTATCCAATTAACAGTTGTGAAATGTAATAAATTTAATTGCTATATATAATATTTTGAATAAAAGATATACTGGTGCTAACATCTCTGGACAAAGTACTAAAAGAGAATAATGAGCTTCATACAGGAAAAAAATCTAAAATCTTTTAGGTGTGTCGACAAAAGTAATAAAGGAAAATAATAAGCTCAAAGATTCAAATTCCTGGCTCTGGATATGCATAGAGGACAACTGAATCTTTATCCTTTAGCCATACACAAACCAAACACGAACCAATCACAGACCTCATAATGTGATTAACTGAATTCAGTGCAGGTTTAATGCTTCATCTGAAAGTGCATCTGCAGTTAACACGGGGGCACTGGTCAGAAAACAGTAGGGTTCTCTGAACTGGAATGGAGATGCCTGGGAGGAACCCAGTGAGGTTGAAGACACTGAACTCCTAAATTCCCAGGAGATTATTGTGTCAGAGGAAGAGATTTCACCACTCTAGGTGGCAGAGACATCCCATCCTTAACCCCTGTGGTGTTGGCTTCCATTTGTGCCTGAGGAAACTAATCCTGCATAGCCTGCAGAAATAATAATGACCTACCTTGATGCAGCTATTAAGCAAGGCAATGCTGACTGTCCTTTGGACCCACTAAAAAGTCAGTCTTTCTCCCATCCTTTCTCAAAGGGACCTGTAGTCTACTACCAGGGTAATTATACATTGGGGAAAAGGAAGCAATTGGACACTGGTTTTGAACTAACACTGATTCCAAGAGATTCATCATTGTCATTCTCCAGTAAGTGTAAAGGCCTATTGAGGTGAGGGAACAACTAAGTTTTAGACAAGATGTAACACACAGTGGAATCCATAAAATCCTCAGTTCATCCCATGGTCATGTCTCCAATTCCAGAAAGATTGATTTGGATAGATGCACTTAGTTTTTGGAAGATATTTGTCGTCTTCCTCAACTTGTGATGTGAGAGCTAATATGGTTGGAAAAGCCAAATGGAATCCATTAAATTTACCTCCACCTGGAAAAATAATAAATCAAAAACAATATCTAGTTCCTGGAGGGGTCAAAGAGATTGCTGCCACCATCTCCATTTAATTCTCCTATTTAGCCTGTGCAGAATATAAATGCATCTTGCAGAAGAATGGTGGATTGCTGTCAGCTCAATCACATGATGGCTCCCACTGCAGCCACTTAATAGATGTGGTTTCCTTCCTTGAACAGATGAACACATCCTCTGATACATGGTGTGTAATTACTGATTTGGCAAATATCTTTATCTCCACACATACCTATAAAGCCCTCAAAGCAATTCGATTTCACCTGGCAGAGTCATCAGTACACCTGTACAGTCCTACTTAACTCTTCCACCCTTTGTCACAGCTTAGTTCACAGCAATCTTGATCACTTTTCTCTTCACTGATCCATTACATTGGGGGATATTATGCTCACTGTACCAAGTGAGAAGCAGATAGCAACCACTCTGATCTTGTTAGTAAAGCATTTTCATATCAGAAGATAGGAAATAAATGCAAATAAAACTCAGACTTCATACCTCAGTGAAATTTCTAGGAGTCCAATGGTGTGGGGGTACACAGAGTTATCCTTTCTGAGGTGAAGGCTAAACTGCTGCACCTAGTTTCTACAACTAAGGAAAATGCACAAAGACTACTTGGATTCTGGAGGTAACACATTACTCACTCAGTGGATGCTTTTGGGAGCCTCTGGAAGGCCCTCATGGGTGATTCACAGCAGAGATCCTTAGGATTTTGAAGCAGCCTCTAATATCATCTGTTGACAATCATCCTCTCTGTGAGAAACAGCTCCTGGCTTCTGGTGGGTCTTATTGTAAACTGAATACTTGATCGTGTGACATTGATCATGTACATTTAGTTAGGAAGAAGATAATTGCCAGACATCCTACTATATACTGACTCATGGACTATATCCAATGGTCTGGTTGGATGGTCAAGAACTTGGAAGGAACGTGACTAAAAAAGTGGTGATGAAGATGTGGAGAAGAGGTGCTTGAACAGATAGATCTCTCCACATGTGTAAAGGATGTGAAGACGTTTGTGCTCCATATAAATGTTCACCAAAAGGTAACCTCAGAAGATGAGGACTTTAATAATCAAGTGGATAGGGTGATTCATTCTATGAATAGCAGTCAACCTCCTCCCTCAGACACCCTTTACATTGCCATTGGGCTCATTAACACAGCAGCTGTGGTGCAGGGATGGAGGTTATGCATGGGCTTACACTCACTATGACTGACCTGTCTACAGTCACTGCTGAGTGTCTAACATGCTAGTAGCAGCGAAAAACACTGAGTCCTCAACACAACACCATTCCCCAGGGGTAATCAGCCTGAACTCTAGGGACCAGCAGACTATATTGGACCACTTCCATCACACAAAGGACAGCACTTCATCCTTACTGGAATAGACACTTGTACCAGGTATGAATTTGCCTTCCCTACATGTAATGATTCTGCCAAAACTACCATCCACAGACTTAAAGAATGCTTCATCTACCATGATGGTATTCTACATATCATTGCTTCTAACCAAGGAACACACTTTATAGCCAAATAAGCGTAGCAAGGTGCTTATGCTTGTAGAATTCATTGGTCTTACTATGTCTCCTATTTTCCAAAAAGTAGCTGGATTGATATAACATTGGAATGGCCTTTTGAAGACAAAGTTATAGCACCATGTGGGTGTCAATAAAGGGCTGGTGCAAGGTTCTCCACAAGACTGTGTGTACTATAATGAGTGTCTAATACGTGGTGCTCTTTGTCTCAGATATAAAATTCATGGGCCCATAAGTCACAGGGTGAAAATGTGAATAGTATCACTCATCGTTGCTCCTGTGACCCACTAATAAAATTTTGCTTCTTGTTTCTATGACATTATGCTTTGGTGGCTTAGAATACTTTGTTCCAGGAAGACAGAAGACTTTTACCAGGAGGCACGGCAATGATGCCTCTTAACTGGAAAGCTTAGACTTCACCCTGGTCATTTTGGGCTTCTCTTGAGTCAACAGTCTAAAATGAAAATTACAGCACTGGCTGGGGATTTTGATTCAGATTCTTAAGGGGAAATGAGACTAATACTCCACATGGAGCTAAGGTAGAATATGTTTTCATTGAAGGAGATACCATGTACATCTCCTGGTATTATCATGCTCTTCTGTTAAGTTTGGTGGGAAACTAAAACAATCCAATATATGCAGGAGGACAAATGATCCAAAATCTTCAGGGTTGGAATTAAGAGTCACCTTACCAGGTAAAAAAGACTTGTTGAGATGCTTGCTAAAGGCTAAGGGAATACAGAATGGGTAGTAGAAGAAGGTAGTTATAAATACCAGCAACAACGATGCAACCACTTACACAAACAAGGACAGGAATTGTGAATACTTCTTTTCTGTTTTGTTAGTATGTTTTCACATATAAACATGCTTGTGAAGCTAACATCTTCAAAGCTTTTGATCCATATTTGTTTGTGTTCTCAGATGTGAAGTTTAACTGTATATTTGAATTTCTTCCCCATCCTCTAGTTGAAAACAGTGACCTTATTGAGAATAGGGATGATATCTTTTACTTTTGAATTCCAAGCAAAAGTTACATTTCAGGGCACTAAGGAAAGGTCAGTGAAGTTTGAAATATAACAAACTAACAAAAATGAATGAATCATAAAAGTTTTTTATTCTTGTCCCATAAAATGACTAAAGAGCTAAAAACTATAAAACATTGCATAAAATCAAAACTTTGTTTTATATGGTCAAATGACCTCAAAAGTTTCAATAAAAATCATGGGAGAGAATTTAGGCTATAAGTATTTGGAAAGATCAATTCAGGATGATGCAATTCTGCATTGGACTGGAGTCCAGATTGGCTCAAACTGAAACCTGGAATTTGTTCAGGATGGTACTT